CTTGTATGGAATGGGTTGTGTTTGCTGGAGTGGGACCATGTTTGAAGAGTTTTAGACGATCACTCCCCCACCCCCTTCCCTGACTTCCATGCCATTTTAAGTAACGCGCGCGGACCTGAAGCGTGTCGGCTCGACTGGTTTAGAATAAAACCATGTAAGGAGTGATGAGGATGGTATTGGGAGATGGGTAAGGAAGGAGATCAGGAGCCCTTCCTTCTGGTAGAGTTTCTACAATTGGAAGACGGACGGTGGACCTCGCTTCGAAGTGCAATAGCAATATACCCACTTTCCTATTACATATGTATCCAATAGAGTTCTATGACGATGGCAGCCAAAGTTCAGTGTTGTGCAATTAGAGATAACTGTTAACAAGCATTACTGAGAGGTAAGTATACTTATTGAGAAAGTATTATTAATGTGAACACTGGAAGACTCACTATAAGTTGGAGACCTCCGTATGTAGTATCGCCACGCAGCGCAGGTAGAAGGGAACTGAGTGACATGCTCTCTGCTACTCCAGATCACTACCTGAAAAACGATATGATTATAGAACCTGACACATCTGCAATATGGTTACCTTTTCATAACACTATAAGTTTTAAAAAAGAATCTAATACTAAACAAAGTTTAAAAATATATATCCGGAACTTACCCAATAGAGAGGGTATCTCTTCTTTGCGTAAACTGTCAAGAAAACACGTCACTACTCATGGGTATCAGATTTCAACCTATGCTAAAAGAACTTTTCTGCAATCCTATCGAGAGGCTGAACATCCTGACGCATGGTCCCACAAATAGCTTTGAATCAGTCAGCAGCTCACAGAAAGCATGAATGTACACTCTTCTAAACACTTGGGACTAAGCAATCCAGAGTAGTCCACAGATTGAGGCAGGTGGCTCTACTCTGATTTTAGCAGCCGGCCTAGTATCCCCGTAAATTGAGAACAGCGCTTACGACGAAGTGGAAGCGAAATTTGGAAACCACCCTAGTATAAGTATTGTATGCGGCAAGCGAGCACTATGCCTAAAGTTGATTTTGTACCCATTAAGCAATACTACTTGTGAAAAAACGCACCTTGCCTTATAAAGCAGCTCTTAAATGAAAGGAATATTCAGGTAATTACAGCAAGAAAATTATTATTTCAAAAACTAGAAAGCGAGTTTTGAACAAAATCACACCTCCTGCACATCTTCCGGTTTCAGGCCACCCCTTTCTACTGCAGCTTTTATGGCGACACTTCCTAATTGTGGAGCCGACAGCGAAGCTAACTGCGACCGGAAAGACCCAATTGGTGTACGGGCAGCTCCAATAATGAACACTTCCTGAAAAGTATTAGAGAACATCAGAATGAAAGTTGTTGGCGCGGAAAAGCACAAGAAAGAAAAATGACAATGAGAATTAACCTTACTTTGTTTCTCAACGAGGTAGTGACACTTAGGGCTCGTCGTCCTACTATACTGGAGCGACCCAACATCTGAAAATGCCAGACAGTGGAAAAAATAACAAAGCAGACGTTATACGGATACGCAAAGTTTTTTCTGTAGTGTTTTTCATACCAAAATAAAGGCTTTTTTAATTTTAATTTCTCCTAGTGTTGAAACTGTTGGCGGCACCAGACTCTACTG